TAGGATTCCCTTGGTACTTGGCATCTTCATCTTGAGGTAGGCGTAGTGGGGGACCGCCATGAACTTGGCCAGGGCAGGCCGGCCAAGCAATGCATGGTAAGGGCTCTCCAAGTCCACCACCTCAAACCAAACTGGCTCTCGGCGGAAATGATTCTTGTCTCCAAAGAGGACATCGATTTGAGTCTTGTCGATTGGTGAGCAGGAAAGGCCAGGGACTATGCCATGGAATACGGTCCGACTGGGGAGGAGTTGCTTCTGTTTGATTCCCAGCTTCTCCATTGTGTCACGGTACAAGATGTTTATGCTGCTGTCGCCGTCTATCAAGATCCTGGAGAAGCGAGCCGCCCGCCTTTCCATTGCAAGGGTTGCATCTAGGACTAAGGCACAGGAACCGGGGGACGGCATCACTTCCGGATGGTCGGCCCTGCTCCAACTGATGGGCATTTCTGACCAGTGCATGAACTCTGCAGTGCTCGAGGCCACTGCATGCACCTCTTGCTGTTGTTGTCGTCTGCTGCGCCTATCATCAGCCACACTGGTGAACACAACATAGGCTCCGTGCTCTGCGGGATACTCATCTTGAATGGCGCCGACTGGTCGGGCCGCCGGCTGCTGGGGCGGAGGAGGCAGCGGACCGGCAGGCGGAGGAGGTAGGAGGCCATCTCCCTTAGCAATCCTGGCGAGCCAGTGACACTTCCGGGTGGTATGATTGGACGGCTTCGCGCCACTATGGAACTTGCAGGGGGCGTCAAGGGTCTGCTCATACGAGAAGGCGGGCAACCAGTTGGGCTTGCCGCCCTTCTGACGCTTGGGCGTCGGCTGTCCCTCCGGCAGCTGATCCTCGACTGTCGCCACCTGCCGGTTGTTGGAAGCCGGCTAGGTGGCCTTCCGCTTGTTGTCGTTTGGGGGCTGTCTCCGACTGGTCTCACCAGCCGGAGTCCGAGGAGCTTGAGGCGCTACCTTGCCGGATGCATCGACTAAGATCTCCGCCTTCATGGAGGAGTCGGCCGTGGCGTGCTTGTCAGCGATGATCAGCAGCTCGTCGAGGGTCGCGGGCTCGTCGCAGAGGAGTCGATGCTTGAGGAGGGTGCCCTCTTGGCACCCGGCGGTGAAGTACTCGATGGCCTGCACCTCATGCACGCCCTCGCAGGAGTTGCGCAGCTCGGTCCAGCGCATGAGGTAGTCGCGCGTCGACTCCGTGGGCCCTTGGATGCACAAGGAGAGCTGTCGGGGCTTGGGAGCCCGCTTGTAGGTGTTGGTGAAGTTGTGGATGAAGACCTCAGTGAAATCAACCCAGCTGTTAATGTTGCGGGGCTTCAGGCTGTTGAGCCACGTCCGGGCAGTGCCTTGAAGCATGAGCGGGACGTATTTCACGGCAACGCGCTTGTTGCCATTCGCTATACTGACGTCCGTGGAGTAATCGACCAGCCAGTCCTCCGGCTTCACGGAGCCGGTGTACTTGGGCGTGTCTCGCGGGAGGGTGAACCCTTTGGGGAAGGGCTCATCTCGGATTCGGGGGTCGAAACAGGGCGGGCCCAGCGCATCTTCTTCTTCTAGCGCCAGGGATCGGTTGAGACGATCGATCCGATGGCGGGCATCGTTCACTCTGACTCCCTCTCGGTGGCCAAGGCGGTCGCCGAGTGTCGGATGCGTGACAGGAGGCAGAGTGGGGTACCTCGCTCCACGAGGCAGGGGAGGCGGCTGGTCGCCTCGCCGCTCTACTGCACAAGGGCGGTCGTCCTCATCCCGCTCGATGGAGAGGCGCGTCCGGCTGCGGCTGGCAGCCGGCTCATTGCCCTTTCCCCCGTGGGTGCCACCGGTCGGCGTCCGGGATGTCGCCCCATGATCTTGGCATGGGGGCGGCTCGTTGTTTCGATGGGCTGGGACTTCAGCGCGGCAGGCGGCCTCGTGCTGCGCGGCAGCCGTGTCTAGGAGCTGCTGGATACACTCCGTCATGTGGCGGATCTCGTCGCCGTCGTATTTGTCTAGCTCATCCGTCACCGCCTGGGTGGCCCAGATGTTCTCTGTAGGCGTGGCGTAGACGGGGCGCTCCGCCCCGAACATGCTGGCGATGGTCGCGCCACGCTGCCGAACCGTGCCGAGGCGGCTAGGCCCCTCAGGAGCCGGCGTGCCGCCTACGGCCCGGTCCATCTCGCGCCGGTAGGCGTCCGAAAGCCGGCGCATACTGGCCAGGCGGCCAGCATTTTCAAGAAGCTGGAGGCAGCGTGCCTCTAGTGCCTCAGCGTCCGCGCCCTCGGGAATGGGCGCCGTGAGGTCGCGCAGAGTTGCGTCGAGGGGATCTTGAGCATGCTCGTCCGAGTGTTCTCCACTGTTGATGACGAGCACCTCCGTGACGGTGCTCCCGCCACTGTGCTCGCGAGGAGGCGGCTCGTCATAGACCACCATGTTGGTGGGGAACGCTTCGAGCGACGCCGTATCGGAGTCGACGATTATCGTATCGGTGGAGCCGATGGACTCCAGGTCCGCAGCAGGCTCGCTGGTGACATGGAGCTGGTCGAGGAGGCTGACGAGGCAGCTCTCAAGGCAGCTAGTGCCTGCGTCGGAGGCCGGCTCATCGGAGAGGTCGATCTCGCCGACAAGGTCGGCGAGGCAGCTCGCCGCGCAGGCGATCTCTGCGCCATGCAGCGCGTCAGAGCTGACACCGTCGGGCGTGCTGGGCTGGCTGGCTTCGCTCGCCAGGAAGGAACAGGGTTCCTGTCCAGAGCAGATCTCCGGGAGACGGTGCACTTCGCCCCACGGTGGGTGCCAAATGTCGGGGGTTGGGTACGACATATGCCAACAGATGGCTTATCATGGTGGGGGCGAGTAGAACGTCGCCGGTGCCTGGAAGCGGGATAAGACGTAGACACGTACGCCGGCGAACTTTACCCAGGTTGGGGGCTCTCCGTGGAGATAATACCCCTATTCCTCCTCTGCGGGGTCTCCGCATGATCACTAAGGCACTAGTGCTACAAGTTGCTCCTTGAGCTGTGTCTAGAGGTAGGAGAAGGCAAGGCTAGCTCTTCCCTGCCCTAGGTAACTAGCTAGTTCTATCAGGGTTGGAACCCTTTGCATGGGTGGCCTGGGGGGTTTATATAGGCCTACCCCCCTAGGGGTACAATGATAATCCGTTCGGGTGCTGGGCCCGGCAGTCAGTGTCTCCAGCCTCCGGCTTCTCCGCCAACCGTTGGGGCCCGCCGCCTGGTGGGCCCCGCCGACTGGTTGGTGGCTGCTTACTGTAGTCGTGTCGTTGATGACGGGGGCTTGGTCATCTTAGTGTGGCTAAGTCCCGCCGCCTGTTGGGAGGCCACTGTAGCCACACCTGGTCTCGTCAGCTTAATGGCATGCTTGCCTTGGGGCAAGGGACGGCCGCCTGCTGGAGGCCGTCCCCTCCCGAATTCGTCTGGTTGAGCTTCCGCCGTCTTCTACGGGGTCACTGCCCGATAGGGCCCGCCACCGGTAGGCCATACCGACAGGCCGTCGTGGGGAACAGGACTCCGCCTGCTCGGAGCGACGTCAGGGGAGACATGGCACAATGCCCCGTCGTGCGGAGATCTCCGCCTATATGGAGCACTGTAGCCACGCCTGTCCCGAGCATCGTAGGTGACGTGCTTCACTGTAGCCACGCTCTGTCTTGTACTCTCGATGGGGGCTCGGCCGCATCAAAGTCGCGAGGTGGCCGCCTGCCTGATGCCGCCCTCTCTGGAGGCCGGCCAGCAGGAGTCAGTCACTCGGAGCGCCGTAGGCTTGGGTTAGCCGCCCTCTGACAGCCGGCCGTTGAGCCAGCCGGCTCCCTGAGGACGGAGCTTCAGCTTGGGGTCCAGCTAGGCGGAGCTGGCCCAAAGTCTTGATAAATCCAGGGACTCGGGTGAGCCTACCCGTGACCCATTACTCCGACAGGACACGACTGTGCCTATCACGGAAACAAATTTGTGCCTCCACAGAAGTATATCGGTTCCTCTCATGGAAGAAAAAATATATTAAAACGCCTTTTTTTCCTTTTCCAAGAGGCACATCGCGAAAACAAATTCGTGCCTCCACAAAAGTAAATCCCTGCCTCTCGCGGAAGGAAAAGAAACACACTTTTTTCCCTCTCGCGGAAGCAAATCCGTGCTTCTCGCGGAAGTAAATCCGTGCCTCTTGTGGAAGGAAAAAGAAACTGTTTTGTTTTCTTTCGCAAGAGGCAAGGATATTTTTTTCTGTGGAGGCACGGATTTGCTTTCGCGAGGGGCACAGTCGTGCCCCTCGGAAAAGGAAGGGGGAAAAGAAAAACATGTTTTTCTCTTCTCCAAGAGGCACGCACGACGAGGCCTCTCACGGAAGTAAATACGTGCTTCCGTGAGAAATAAATCTATACCTCTTGTGGAAGGGCAAAACACACGTTTTTGCGCAGATTTTTTTTTCAAATCCTAAGAAAAGTAAAGTGAAACCCGAAAAGCCAAAAAAATAATTTAAAGGCTGAAAACGTGTAAACAAAAAAAATGGAGGAAGCACCCAGAGCACGACTAGTGGTGGCGGCTGAGTGCGCACCAAGTGGCTCGCTCCCAGCCCACCGAAAGTGACCATTGCGGGGGCTCCCGAAGGAGTACTCATTAGTTAGTTGCTCTCGTTTTTGGGTACATCAGCTTCAGCAAACTTACAACTTAAAACTTGCTTTCTCAAGAAAAAAAAGATGAAACAACTGCCTTCAAATAACCGAATAATCTTTGGAGTATTATTCATTGCCAAGAAGTGCACCCTGCTTCAGTGAATCTCGGCTGCTGGATCTTCAGAACTAATACTGATGACTGACTTAATGAGATAGATAAAGGTTGGGCACTAGCTACCTGCTACCGGAAGTTCATATTGACCACGCCCTAACATGAAGAAGCCCATATATAGGCCATCGAGACCGATCGAGTACAACTGAACTAGCTATTATCTTAGGCTAATCTTTAGCACACCGTTCGTTCGATCCGCATGCCACACGCCGACAGAAATGGCGAATGTCTGCTCGACGGTCAGAAGTCTAGGCGATCCGCCTCCCAGTCCAGCCCGGCCGCGACCATTTCGTAGTAAGGAATGTACTCCTGGCAGGGGATTAATAATGCACAAGTACTATTAGATGGCAATCAGATATAGTCCAAGACACTTAAATTGGTTGCAGATTGTTTCTGAATTTCTGCATGCAGTTAAAAGTTTCAGTTGCGCCCACCTCCAGTTTGTCCATGAGCTGGTGGGCGGTGGGGGCGGAGACGATGATGCGGCGGGCTGCGGGGTTGATGAAGCCCTCCTCTACGGCCTGGTCGATGAAGGTGAGCAGCGAGTCGTAGTACCCCTCCACGTTCAGCAGGCCGACCTGAAGAAACAATCAGCACAGCTTCATTGATTTCACCCCTGCACGATGCTAAATTTAGCCTCAGATGTCATGCATGCATGCATGTTGAGTCTACCGGCTTGTGATGGATCCCTAGCTGCGCCCAGGTGATCACCTCCAGCAGCTCCTCCAGCGTCCCGTACCCACCTTAATAATCAACCGCAAAACACATCAGATTAAGCTGCGTCCGTCAACTCACAGACGGACGGAGACAACATGTCAGAGAAGCATTTAGTAGCATCCTACAGAGCCCGTGAATATGGATATGGGGCCAGATGTCTGACGTGACCGACATGCTGAGGAGATGCAATGCAGTGCGGTAATCAACGAGGCAATGATCACGTAGTACGTACCGGGCAGGGCTATGAAGGCGTCGGAGAGGCTGGCCATCTGGGCCTTGCGCTGGTGCATGTCGCCCACCGGCCTCACCTCCCCCACCATCTCCCCGACGATCTGCCACAAAGACAATCAAGGACCATTTCTAGTACATAATCTATCCATTGGCGCAAACGTAGCATGCAGCAGAAAAATGCAGATGCATGCAGAGCTTAATTGTGCGTACGATCATGGCGCGTCATTGCGCATGTCGGCACGCAACAGGACAAACAAGCTGGATTGCTTGCCGTTGCCGGGCGCGCGGGCGGAAGAAGGAAGTCGACGACATTGCTCCTGTTCTGTGCGGTTGTGGGTGTGGTTGCGGTCACGAACTACAGCCAACGCTGCGCGGCGTGCAAGTTGCACTGCAGCCTGCAGAGGTGTTAGTAACGGCACGGGGCCTACCATAGTAAGCAGCAGCTAGTCCATGTTAGCAGAGCGTTGTCGCGCCGCTGTTAAAAACTCCACGATCGAGCTGAGACGCTGCCGAGTACCAGACCAGACGCGTCCAAGCAGACCAGTACCGTGTCTGTGCTCTGCAGCGCACATGATAAGCTAGTGAATGCGCTCAGCTGGACAGTGAATGAGTGAGTGAGTGAGAGTCCAAGGTGCCCGGATCAGCTGTTGACAGTGAGCGAGCGAGTGATTAGCACGCCTGTCTGTACGGGGCTAAGCATGACGCACAGAGAAAATCTCAGTTTAAGAACGTTCGTCCGATCGAGGAGCATGTCTCTCCCGGCCTGTGGATATTTAGATTCCATGGGAATCATACATGTTTGTCTGTCTGTTTGTTCTGGCCGGGGAACGGAATCATCACGCAATCGCACGCAAAGCTGCGGCTGCTCACGTTGTTTATGCTCACGCCCGGCTTGGATCTGCGGGTGCTCCCGTACCGTACGTGGGGTTTGGTGATTCTGTGCATTGTTTTTTCAATTTTATTTATGCGGAACAACGTCTAGCTCTGTTCTGGGTGCGTTGTGTTTCCTAGGATCAGGCTAGTCACAACGAGAGTATCATAGATAGTACTCCCTCCGTTCTTAAATATAAGTCTTTGTAGAGATTTCACTATAAACTACATACGAAGCAAAATGAATGAATCTATAGTTTAAAATGCATCTATATACATCCGTATGTAGTCTATAGTGGAATCTCTGCAAAGATATGTATTTAGGAACAAAGTGAGTATCATACATGTCAATTAGACATTTTTAATTCGTGTAACACACACACAAAAAAGAGGATTGCATGTCATGTATCATGATATGATACTGTATCATGGTGTATCAGTGTGTGTCATGCATGACAACAAATGAGGTTGCTATGTTACTCCCTCCGTCCAGAAATACTTGTCGCACAAAAATGTGAAATTGAATGTATTTAAAACTAAAATATGTCTAGATATATCCATTTCCCCGACAAGTATTTTCGGACGGAGGGAGTACTAAACAATGATACTATGCATTGTGCAGGTAGCATTGTATAATAATATCATATGAGTAATAATGATACTTTTCAGGACAAGGAAACACTCGTGCGAATAGACTAATTAGTTAGTCCTAGCTAGTAGAGCTACTACTACAGGTGAGCATTCCAAAGATTCAGTGAGGTGGTAGTGTCATGATCGAGACTTGAAAATGGATGAGCATGCCATGCTTCTTTCTGTTCCGGGATGAAATACTAGTACTGCAATAAGTTGAGTAGGAGACAAGCAGTGCAGTGCATACCTCGGGGGTCATCAGAGTCTTGGGAATGACCCTGCACGCGCATACAATACAAGGCAGGCACCAAGATGAGACGGGATTATAATGAACTGAACTGCCTACCATACTACCTGGCTGAAACCAGAATGCAAGCTTGCATGGTGCAACTGCAACTTACCCGATGACGTGCCTGCCGCCGTGGTAGACGGCCTGAGAGACGAGCCCCATCAGCCCGATGCTGCCGCCGCCGTACACCAGGTCGATGGCCCCGCCCACCTGCACCCCAACGTTGGTCAGCTAGCTCCTACTCCCTCCGTTCGGAATTACTTGTCTCGAAAATGGATGTATCTGTTCTAGATACATCCATTTTCGAGACAAGTAATTCCGAACGGAGGGAGTAGCTACGTACTACCACCGTACGTACGTAAGTACATTTGAGATCTGACTGGCAACAAGTACGCACGCACGTTCACCAAGCTGGTCCAGCAGTACGTACGTACGTACGTGATCGAGAGTGAATTCCTTGTACAGTAATACTAGTAGACAAGACGCGTCGTACGTAGCGAGTGAAATAACCTACACATGTTGAATGCGGTGGGGATACTAGTGTACTAGTAGTTAGTACGTACGTACGTACGTACGCAATACTGTAGCTGTACTGCCTGGTGATGCATGCGCCGCGCCGATACTACAGGAGGAGAAAACCATGCAAAAAAAAAAAATACTACAAGAGGAGAACTGAAGCTGACGATCCAGTGCTTTAATCTGCGGGTGCCATCAGACCGGATCGGACACGTAATTAATTGGCTACAGCTCCTTCAACTTGGGTACGTAGCGGAGCATATAATTAATTTACCGGTCGACACGAGTAGTAAGCAGCTCTGCCCTACCACCACCAGTGCTGCACTGAGAGTGAGAGCTGCTGGCAAGTAAGATCATCGATCTCACGTACTGTAAAAGAGTACAGTATGTAGTTTGACACGGCCGGTATCTATCTCTCTATCTAAAAATAACTTGATGTCTGAATGCAAACAAATTTCACATGTCATTAATCTGGGCAAATTAAGGAGATCAATGTCAACGAGCGCGGAGGGAGAAGACCGCCCATGCATGTGCAGCAGGTGCGCATGTACTACAAGTTTCTTAATCATCTCATCAAGGCCCAGCAGACCAACAGACAGACTAGCTACTTAATCATGCAGCAATTAGTGCGCTAAAAGTCTCCCCACCTTGCTCTAGCGAGGGCGCAGAATCATTCAGCAATTGAACACAGCCCCTTTGCGATTAATCGAGGATCAGGAGCTTAACTGTGCTGCTAATTGATCAGGATGAGATGGATGCATGACTGGTACGGTACGTACGAGCTGGTTGGCGAGGTCGATGGCGGCGGCGTGGTAGCTGCTCTTGTTGCCCTGGCTGCTGCCGCAGAAGACGCACATCCTCTTGAACCTGCTCGCCTGCCTCATCCTGGCCTCTCTCCTTCCCTCTTCCTCTGGTCTGGTGTGTGTTGTGCTGTTTTCCTTGCTTGGATGTGGTGCACAACGGCTCGCAATTCCTCTCAGTGCGCCACCTATCCCTTATATAAAGGTGCGGGCTGGAGGAAGAGAGGGGGAGAGAGAGAGAAACAGAGAGAGACAGAGAGAGAGAGACCGTGCAGGAGTGTTGGGTATTGGTATTGGTAAAGGTTTTGGGCTGTCTTTTGCAACTTTGCATGAGAAAAGTACAAAACAAATGTACTGGTAAGAAGAAAAGTCAATCTTATATATATATTCAAACAAGTATAGACAGCTTGAATTGAATGAAAATTTCCATAAATCTTCTAAAATATACCCGTATTTGCGGCCTCCAAATATACTCTCCTGTTCTAAAGGCTATGAACTGTATGTAATTAAAATTTCAGAAACAATATGACCATATATGTCAACCGCGGAATAGAATATACTCCTATATTTTTTGTTTGTGCGGGGAGAAGACCATATTGGTTGATGATGTAATTTTTCATTGCTATATGTAATTCACCACACCCTCCAAACCTCAAGAGGTTATTGATGATGCTTCTGTATTTTTCAGTTTCAAAAGAGATAAAATATCATAAATAAAAGGAAAGTTACACATGGAATAATCTGCAAAGAATAATAATGATAACTTACCTTCAATACAAAATGACAAGAAATGCATGCTTATATATTTTTCATTTTGCACATGACACAAAGACTCTTAGTTTTTTCCTGATTTTTTAATTTTGTATATGAATTATGATTTTAAAAAAACTCCTAACAATCTTTATTTCCAAAAAAAAATCTCGTAAGGCTCTTTACATCTATGTTTTATTCTGAGTAGTCCATTGGGAGCGACCGGTGCACCGCACCACCCCTTATCCATCGTCCATCACGTGTCCCCCATCCAACGACTATGTCTTAATTGTTGAACTATAGACGGGCCTTGGCACCATAAATGAAATAATTCCTGAAAAATCTCAATGGCCCATGTGGGGTGTAATGATATGGTGGGAAGTTTAGTGCCACCCGGGAGTGGAGAAGAGTTGGGACATCCTTATAAGTGATTTTTTTCCCCACATGCTATTGGAGCTTGAGAGAAGGACTAGTTCCCGCACGCTTCTACGCCACCGGCCACCTCACTCCGTGTTTGTTGAACGCGAGCCAAGCTTAGATATATGTCATTCATTCCCTATTTAACTGGTTCACATATTGGCCATACTTACTGTTTTCATATATTTATAGATGTTATAGTTCTATATGTTTAGTACATGATGTTTCATATAATTTACAGTTTTGTGCTTAGTATGTCTCACATGTTCAAATATAATTAGGAAATTAATATTGTTTCTGCTATCATCCTAATTTATTTATGAATTAATAGTCCTTAGTTACTCTCTTCAGTCCTTTTTACTCCGCGTATTAGATTTGTGTCAACAAAGTTTTACCAAATTTATATTAAAAATATCAATATCTACAATACCAAATATATATATATACTACTATGCAAATCAATAAATATATATACTACTCCATAAGTAAATAGATGTGAGTATGAAACTACATTTCGTAATGAATCTAACAATATTGATTTGGTATTGTAACATTGATACTTTTTTTTATAAGTTTGGTCAAAGTAGAGTTATTTTGACTTCGGACAAAACTTATATGCAAACTAAAAAGGACCAGAGGAAGTAAGTGCTTTGCCTACCCACCAAGTACTGGATGCAAAAGCTACGCAGCCTAGCAACCCCAAGACACGCACAACGATTATTTGCAGTAACTATGTACAATGCCATATGAGACTAGCCATAGTGGAGACTAACTTCAAGAGTAACATGCACATTATCCTAGGCTATGTTACTACTACCTCCGTCCGGGTATACAAGTCCGATGAGCCACCAAGCTGCGTACGTTTTTTCAAGGCCGCTGGCTGCATGCAGCTACTTTTTCTCGGTCTGCCCGCTGTATTGTGCGCTTGATTGGCCGGGTGATGCGTGTGGTTAAAACCGAAGAGGCAACCTGGTTGCATGCTGTAAATGCTAGCCGGTGCTGGATTGGTCACATGCTAAAGCGAACGATTCAGCTGGCTGCATGCAAAACTGCCAGCGATTTGATTGGCTGCCCCCATTCCATGAAAGTAGGCGTCGTTGGTTATTAATGCTATTGCCTTGATCCTTGAGTTTTGGCTAATGGGCTTTATAAACCCGGACGGAGGTAGTACCTTCATAGTTGGTAGTAGTGTCATTCAAATCTTCATCTATTAGGTTATAAGCTCATATTGTATTGGGGTATGTGATGTTACACTAACTAGCTGAGTTACTCAATTTGCCTCTCTTCTCATTAACTCAATGCCACATAGACAATTTTGCTTAGTTGGAACTTACTCTCTTCGTCCGGTGAAAATGTACATATAGAAATTTTAGGACAAATTATGGAGCAGAGTAAAAAAATGAATTCGAAACATGCAAGCCACCATCTCTCCTCTTTAATTACTCAACCCCAAATGAGCTAAGTGTGTGTAAAAATTAAAGAAACAATGTGTAGAATGTTATTGATCTTGATTATTGTGTGATGAGAGAGAAACATTTTTTTTCTATTTTAAAGTGCATTGAAAAGATAGAAGTATACTCTTTTATGGACAAATTGTAAAGCCAAATGTACACTTTTTACCGAACGAGAGGAAGTATGTTACTCTTAAAGCTACTCCCACTATGGCCAGTCTGAAAACAGGAAATGAATACTTGCATACATGCACCCGTGGCAGTAGCCAAGGACGCAGTGTTTATTGGCAGCCCAACACCCATCCGTAAATATATATGCGAATGGGTGTTGGGCTGACACATAGTTCCATTTTCGCACAAAAAATTTATGAATTTGCAAGATCTTTTAGACAGATACAAATTGGCAAGTTTTATTAGGGAGATATGAATATGCAAGCTTTTTTAGAGAGGCACAAATTTGCAAGTTTTGACAATACCAAAATGCAAAAAACACTATCTAAAATCAAGACATGGATGAAATTAATTTATTTACAGATTCAAGGTTTATATATGAATGGCTTCATAGTCCGGGGTTTAAATCTGATCTGGCCTCATAGTTCAATATTTAAATTGGACACATCTCTTTCTTGTAAAATGACACCTTTTGTTTTATTCATGATCGTCTCAAAATTTCATTTTGGGAGGTTTGTTAACTAGGCAAACCACCTAATGCTAGATTGAAAATGCGTAAATGAGAACACAAGAACAAAAAATCTTCCATCCACATGATCCGAGCAAAATATATAGTGTAGAAATATATCATCTCCACCAAACATGCAAGGTGCGCATCTTCATTTCGCCTCTACAATACACTGGCATCATCTTGCCCGTGTCTCTTCTAACGCAGCTAGTAACCTGATAACGAATGAATTCATCTAAGATTCTGTCATCAGGAGATTTCTCGGGCACTCAATCATTTAGAAACATGAAAGTACTCCCTCCGTCAAAAAATAAGTATCTTGAGCTTAGTACAAATTTATACTAGAGCTAGTGCAGAGTTAAGACACTTATTTTGAGATGGAGGGAGTATTTTATTAATTCTTTACCCGAGTTTCAGACAGATACAACAAAAAAGGTTAGGCCCATTTCAACTAGAATATACATACCTGCTGTGAATATATTTAAACCTTGACCTACACAAAATTTCTAATTATATTGTCAAGTAAAATGATGTTACCACAATCTTTTCCATGGTTAAGGAGGCAGGACAAACATGTTAAAAGGGCAGAAAAAACATGACCACAAGCAGACTTGTTCTTGTCCTTCTCCAACGGGGGCAGGTAGATGTTATTACATCAACACAAGAGATACGTACTATAACCAAATGATAGCTGCGTTGAAAGAGAAGAATGTGAGGGTAAAGAGCAAACGGCCCTATATTCTACGTCGTACTTTTTCATCGGCGTTTCGCCTGTCAGTTTGATGCATGTTGTCCCTCCGTCTAATTAAGCCTATATGCAACCATACGATTTACTATGTTTTTGCGAGGGATAAGAAAAGGCATGGTTTTATGTACAACCGCTGGAATAGTGGCAACTTCAATTTTAACCCAAACAAGGGGAAAATACTTGGTACTCCCCCCAATCCATATTAAATGACGCAACTCTATAACAACTTTCAGACGGAGTAGATGGTTCCCCGCAAAAAATAAAAAAAGCGTATGCGAAGAGAGTTTTTGGAACTTCTGTACATATGAACAAATTTTGTCGAAGTTAGCAAAAGTTACACATTTTGATTTGAACATTTACAAAAGAGTATATTTATGTAGATGTCGAGTAGATCCTTGTTTGTTTTTTAAACTATGAATGGCAGCAGGAGAGGCTACAACTGACTTATATTAACCAAAAAATATTTACAGATTTACAATTGGGTTTTAAGGCTCCCCAGCCATATATGGCTCTAAGAACATCTACAGTCGGACGTCTCAAACCATCCATCATACGCCCGTGGACATGTCCGGTTAGTGACCGGAAAGGAGAGAGAAGAAAAAACGTGACCCAGACGGACTCCTCATATCATCCATATACGTCCGGGCTGTCCGCGAACCCTCATATCCATCTCAAATATGGGAAGGATATGAAGGCTCGCAGACGCGCCCAGGCCCTCCACCACGTAGGGCATGGCCTCACCCCGGACCACATTTTCTCTTTCTTTTTTCATTCTTTTATTTCTCTCTCTTCATCTCCACCGATCACGTGCAAGTGACCGGACATATGAGAGGAAAGATGAGGAGGATGGCTGCGCGGTCGGATAAATAGGGGCTTAAAACGGACATGCCCGGTCACTGACCGGGTGCGTCCGCGGGCGTTTAAGGAGTCATATTTGTTATGTCCGGCTGTAGATGCTCTAAGAGAAGGAGGAGAGCAATGCAAACGGGTTTTAAGGCTTCCCAGCCATATATGGCTCTAAGAGGAGGAGCAGAGCAGT